AGAGAAAAGAACAAAGAATATATGTGGAGATTACCTGAAACATTATTCTATGAAGAAAAAGCACTAGATAGAATTAGAAAAGAACTAAGGCTATACTTCAAAGAAAATAATACAGAAGAAATATCCAATATCACTATATGGGAAGCCAGCAAAGCAGTTATCAGAGGAGTACTGATAAAAATGCAATCAGAAAAGAAGAAAGAACAACAAAAAAAACCAAAAGAACTAACAGAAGAACTCAGGAGGAAAGAAGGAGAATGGAAACAAAAAGGAGACAAGAAACTGAAAGCTGAAATCTTGCTGTTACAACAACAACTGAAATCATTAACTATTACAGAAGATTAAACAACAACAATTTGAATTCAGGAATAAAGCTGGGAAATTACTGGCACACAAGCTTAAAAAAGAGAAAGAAAACAAATTAATAACAGAATTGACAGTTAATGGAAGAAATATCACTAGCCAAAATGAATTCAAGCAAGCATTTAAAAAATATTTTCAAGAATTATATTAAAACGATCACCAAATAGAAAACAAAGTAGAAAACATTGGAAAATACCTAGAAAAACAAAGAATACCCTGCTGAAACACTTCACAGAAAGAAAAGTTAAATCAAACAATAACCACTCAAGAGATAGCAGATGCTATCAAGAGACTAAAACTCGGGAAGGCTCCGGGCCCAGACGGGTTTACAGCCATGTATTACCCAGAAGATGAAGGACATAATATTACTACCATTATTTAGACTATTAAATGATATTCAAAGGCAAGGCATTCCAAACTCTTGGAAAGAAGCACTGATCGTCATGTTACCTAAAGAAGGAAGAGACAAGAAAGAGATCAAAAGTTACAGACCTATTTCTCTAATCAACGTGGATTACAAAATATTTACCAGTATAATAGCTGAAAGACTCCAAAATATTCTTGTAGAACTCATACACAAAGACCAGAATGGATTTATACCGAAGTATTACATTAAAAATAACATGCGGATGGTGATTGATATTATTGAATATTTTGAATACAATAATGATAAATAGCTAGCAATTTTAATGATTGATGCAGAGAAAGCCTTCAACAGGGTAAATTGGACATTCCTGATGGAGGTACTGAAAAAAGTGAACATTGGAGACAAATTTGAATCCTGGATGAGAGCTATATATAAAGATCAAAAAGCACAATTAATAATTAATGAAGAAAAACAGATTGCATAAAAATAGAAAAAGGTACCCATCACGGATGTCCAATGTCACCGCTGTTATTCATTATAATTTTAGAAATACTTAACATAAAAATAATGGAAGATAAAAATATTAAAAGACTGAAAATTAAAAAAATGCAAGTCAAACTGAAAGCCTATGCTGATGACTTGATATGCTTCCTGGAAGATCTGGAAGAAAGCATAGAGCACCTGACTAATGGAATTTGGAAGCTATTCTGGCTTCAAAATTAACGAAGACAAAACTATCATCTTAACAAAGAATACGTCAAAGAAAGAAGAAAATGATCTAAGTTTAAAAACAGGATTTAAAATACAAACCAAAGTAAAATATCTAGGGATCATGTTAACAAAAAAGAATGTGGACTTATACCAAAACAATTACGGGAAAACTTGGGAAGAAATTAGGAAATTATACTTATTCCAAAGGAAGGTAAATCAGAAACTGATGTGAGAAATTATAGACCCATTTCCCTTCTTAACGCGGATTATAAAATATTTGCCAATATCTTAGCAACTAGACTTAAAAATTACCTTTCAAATTGGATAGATACAAACCAACGTGTTTTTTTGTCTAACAGAGAAATGAGAGACACCACAAGAGTAGTATTGAATATCTTAGAATACTATGAGAGACATAGGGTATGTTGTTTATCGATTTGGGAAAAGCTTTTGATTCGGTTAATTGGCAGACAATTTTTAAAATTATGGGAAAAATGGAATTAGGCGCTAAATTCACTAACTAGATAAAGGAAATATATAAAGAACAAAAGCATAAATCAATATTAACGGGCAAAGATCAAAGCAGATAAAAATCGCAAATGGAACGCGACAAGGATGTCCCCTCTTGCCACTTCTATTCATAATTGTAAAAGAGAGGCTGATCAAAGATATTAGTAATGAGACAGCGATTCAGGGAGTGAAAATTAAGAGTCATAGGTTTAAAGTAAGAGCCTTTGCTGATGATTTGGTTATATTTTTAGAAAATCCCAATACGAGTGCACCCATATTAATGGAGATCATAGAGAAATTTGGAGAAGTATCAGGTTGTAAAATGAATAGAGCGAAATCAGTAATTATAACTAAAAATATGGGTAAAGATGACATACAGAAACTAGAAGAAATTACAGGG